CAGGCTGACCTCGAACTCACAGAGATCCGCCTGCCTCTGCCTCCCGAGTGCTGGGATTAAAGGCATGCGCCACCAACGCCCGGCTAGACCATTATGTTTCTAACAGCAGAAACTATACGTGCAGTAAAACACTGTAGTCCCTAATACGCAGTAGTCTCAAATATGAGCAAGATGTTTCGAGTAGTGTCTGTGGGCTGTGCTGGGATGTGCACTGCAAAGTTCATGTGCTGTGTGTTCAGAGCCCAGGACATATATCACATAATGAAACACTGGCACATGCTAAGAACACCCTGGATTCAGATGTCTGATTATGAATTATGTTTTATCATTGTGTCTACAGAAACCTTTTACTGTTCCCAAATATTTGGCGCACGCCTTTAATCCCAGCACTCAGGAGCCAGAGGCAGGGGGATCTGTGTGAGTTTGAAACCAGCCTGGTCTACAAGAGCTAGTTCCAGGACAACCTCTAAAGCCACAGAGAAACCCTGTCTTGAACCCCACCCCACCCCCCAAAAAAATCAAACTGTACATTGTTCTGCAGCCCATTGGGTCTTGACCCACAGTTGAAAAGACTGTAATCAAGACCAAAAAAAAAAAAAAAAAAAAAAAAAAAAAAAAAAAAAAAAACCAACCTGGAAAGGCAAGACTGCTGGGCTAGAGAACAAATGGAAGGGTCACCAGAACATAGAATAAGAATTGCAGTTCTGGTAAAAACAGGTCTCAGAAGATGATGAGGGGCTAGAGACATGGCTCAGCAGTTAGGAACACACTGCTCTTTCAGAGGACCTAAGCTGGGTTCCTAGCACCATGCGCAGCAGCTCACCTGCCTGGGTCCAGCTCCAGAGGGTCCAACAGCCTCTTTTGGCACATGCACACACCCACACATAGACATACATAGTATACATCATTTAAAACAAAAGTAACGTCTTTTTAAAGAGAGAAAATCTTGTTGGGAAAGTAGGAAAAAACATCGAGAGAAAGCAGTCACTATCCCTAGTGTCTCTTCCCACAGACCCCTTTTTCTTCCCCAGGAATCTGGATATCCAGGAAAATGAAGGCACCCAGGCAGGCGCTAAGTTCTCACCTGGAAGCCCGACCCTGGTAGGAGAAACCTTGTCTCTTGAAATAATCTATCGCATCCTCAGGGCAGGTCTTGAGCGTGTTCACACGTACAAACCGAGGCACCTGGTAGGCTAGAAGCCACAGCAATGAGTAGGAAGGAAGACAAGCCCCCTGTAGGCCATAACCCACCCCCCACCCCCAGTCTCCAGTTCACCTTGGCCAGGCCTGGATCTCTCTTCCAACAGGTCCTCATTTCGGCTCACACCCCGATGAACCTTGAGCCGGGCCAACTCAGCCTTGAGTCTTGCCTGGTGTCGGCCCAGGAGGGCCTTCCATCGGCCTCCACCCCCTCGAAAACCCTTCCCTAGCAACAATTCATACACAAGCACCTGGATAGAGAAAAACAGAAAAACTATTAACATCATAAAACCCTCCAGTGGGAGGGCTGTCCAGATGGTCAGGTCAAGGGGATTTTCTTGCCCAAGATCATCCAAGAAATTAATGGCCCACTATGGGAGCAAATGCCTATAATCCCTGCAATCTCATACACTTAAGCATGAAGACTACAAACTGAAAATCAACCTGAGTTACCAATTTAAGACCTGCCTGAGCAACTTAGCAAGAACCTGTCTCAAAAAACAAGGGCCAGGGACATGGCTCAATAGAACCTTCGTAGAATCTCCTAGTAAAGGGTTGTGGGTATGTGAAAGAGACATCCACCATTGAAGAGACTGGGAGCAGGTTCAGGAGTAGTGTCCTCCACAGAAGTAATAGTAGTACAGCTCAGCAGTAAGCACCTGCCTAGAATCCCCCAGTGAGGGGCTGGGGTGTGGCTCAGTGGTAGAACTCTTCTCTGGCAAGTTGGTTCAATGTCCAGCGTCACAATAAGGCAGGCAGGCAGGCAGGCAGGCAAGCAGGCAGGCAGGCAGGCAGACAGACAGACAGACAGACAGACAGACAGACAGACATAACCCAGTGTCCTGCCTCCCACGCCTGTACCTTTTCCCCAGGTGGCCCCCGTTGAGGGGAGCTCTGGACCCCCAGCCTTCCTTGCCATCATTGCTGCTGCCACCGCTACCTGGTTCCTCTGTCCTATTTAACCCTTCACACAGTGCTCCCCATGAAGACACAGCGTTCGGGCCCAATTCGTTTCCCAGAAAGAGGGGCAGAGCTCTGCACAGGGG